TTTAACGACCTTGTAAAAATATTCCACGCAGAGATTTAAAGTAATTTAAATTCAAAAATGTTTTACGTTGAAAGAAAATCTCCGCGCGAAAAAGCAAATCATCTATTCATCTATCTATTCAGAATAATAAATTTTGTGTGACGTTCTTTATGATAAAAACATTACTTTTAAGAATTGCTAAAAAAAATGCTAAGCTAGAAAAAAAGTAATTAATCAACCAAAAAAAAAACGAGTCGCGAAAAGATTTTTTTTAAGAGAAAACTAATCACAAAAGTGTGTTTTGCAATCGCGATACGCTTAATACGAGCCCTGTAAGGCTTTTTTATAAGTTCTAAACTATTTAAAACTATTACTTATAACTTTTTTTTTAACGACGTCTTTCAACCGAATGCTATTATACTGTTTTTGCAAAACTAATTAAAAAAACTTAACTATTTAATCACGACTTTTTTTTACTTGAAAATCGAAGTAGATATTCTAAAGTTGTTGTGACGTACTAACGTGATTTTTAACGAGTTTCAATGGTGTATAAATAAAATCAAAATGGAGTTGTTTTTTAGTGATTTTGGCAATTGCTTTTTGTTAGCATGCATTTATTATTACAATTTAGTGAAAAAGAAAAAAAACTTACATATTTTTTTTTTATGCTCTTTCATATGAGATCATATGTTAGGAGCACTTAGGGATCCCTTTAAGATTAGTAAAATTGCTAATTGTAAATATCCATGAAAATATTTATCAGAATATATATGAAATGAATGATTGATTGAACTCAAATCAGTTCAAAACAGTTTTAGTCAAGAATTATATTAATGAGTTCAACCCTCGGAATTAGGGTTGGCATTCGGCAATGCTGACCAAACTGCCAAACTAAAAATATTTGAGGTCGGCTAAAAATTGCCGACCTCGTTTCTTTGTCTACAATTTGAAGTTGGTAATAAATTGCTGACCTCTTTTTTCCTAATTGCGAGGGTTGTGCGTTGGAAACTGGGTTTAACTGATTGACAACTAATTGTTTTTGATTCTGTTTGGGTTATAATTAAATTTTTATAGATTTGGTTTGAGCTTTAAAAAATATTTTGTTAACTGTATAAAATCAGTTTCTAGTTCTAGATGCCATTAAAGTTATTTGACTTTAAATAGGTTAGTTTGGTAAAAAAATCAGAATAGTGAAAAACACTTTATCAATATAAATATGAATAAATATATATTTTACTATATATATATATATATATTTTACTATATATATATATATATATATATATATATATATATATATATATATATATATATATATATATATATATATATATATATATATATATGACACAAAGGGGTTACCATAAAACAAAGAATCTTCAAACATTTTTAGGTCAGCATTGCTGAATACCGACCCTAATTCCGAGGGCTGAATACCCTTTTTCATTAGTGTTAAATAAAGTTTTTTTAATAATTTCAATCAAAACTGGTGTGTTTTAAAATTATGAGTCTTTTTCTAATAATAATAATATGATTGTTCTCATACATTGAGTATTTAAGTTCACAAGTTGTAGGCCTAAATTATTGTTGCAATATCACCAATAGTGCCTTATAATATTTATTTCATAAATGAAACAAAAAATTAATTTCTAATTTTTTTAATATATATTTCAAATCAATTTAAATCATATAACAAATACATTTTTAAATATTAAAATTTTTTTTTTAGGTTGGGAATTGCATTGGCAAAAGAAATTATCGTTATTTTTATTTGTTTGTAGTATCACTTTTTTTTTTGTGCATATATGTATTTGTTGGTGCTGTTACACATTTAGTATTGCGTAAGTTATTATACTATAATTATATATTATACTATATAATTAATATTATACTATATAATTATTATTATATTACTATATTGTATATTGTTATTTTATTATATTACTATAATATTATATTATAATATGTTCTTATATTATTATTTTATATATTGATATATTATAAGTTATATTATATTTCTAGTTAGGTTTGGTTTTAATCAAAATTTTTTTTGTTTGTTTTTGGTGATAATTTCATTGTAAAAAATAAAGCTGAAAATCTAGTCATTTGATATTTTAAGAATTTTGTGTATTGTTGCAACCTGGCTACTTAAAAAATATTTTAAGAATTTTGTTCACTTGTCCATTACTCAATCTCGCCTACTATCTTTAATTGCTTATATGTCAGACCATCGACAAAAAAATATTTAGAGCAGCAAATTAGTCTTAATCAAAATTAAAACAACCTCAAAGAAATTGTAATTAAAAAAATATCTGTCAATGAAATTTTGTTAGTTTTTGATAAATTGTTTGCTTTCTAATTTGCTGGTTTCAAACTAAAATAACTCAACTGAGTAATTATGTTGTTGTGCATTTTAAGTTATAGTTTTATTTTGTTGTCTATTTATTTGTTGATTCTGTTAGCATAGTAAAGTTTATTTTGTTTGAAAATGGTAGATTATGCTTAAAATTGTTTTTTGCCCAACCTACCTAAAGTAACTCGATATCGCCCACAAAATGAGTATATTCTTACCCAATGCATCCAACATTGCCCGTGGGCGAGAATAGATTAAGCATATAAACTAATATTGCAGAGTTTTACCTGAAATTTAATTGGAATCATTTACAAACAGTTTTTACTTAGTAACTTCTACTTCATGGACATTACGCCATACCTTAGCCACACCTAGGATTAGGGTTTGGCTACAAATGTTAACACATGGTTTTTAGTATATGTTAATAATTTTAGCTTTTGTAAAAAAAATTAAACATTTTGTTAATTCAATATTAGATTTTGTACTATAATCTATTTATCTAGCTCCTGTCTTGAAAATTAACATGGTTAAAACAAGATGTGGGGGATGTAGATCATCATTATGATTACACATGGAGGCTGTTGGCAAGACTGGTTCTACAACAGAGGTTTCAAAAAGTTATAAGACAATGTCTCTTCATAATAGTGCAAGTCTTTTATTTCAGGATAGTAGTGCACATGAAATTTGTTAAATGAAAGAGCAACCAACACATAATATTTCTTTAACTTGTGTTAATAATACTAATTATTTAATTGATCAGTCAGTCACCATTAAGAAACGAGGCAAAATTGTGCAGGTGATGAAGATAATGATGTCTTGTGTAAGTGATGGAGATAATGATGTCTGGGCATATCCTGAGGCTACTGTGTGAAAAAAGGTATCAAGAAAAACGGGTCCTCAAAAATTCTTTGTTTTAACTTCTCAAGAAGCATATTCAGCAAAAAACTTATTCAGCTGAACTGAATTATCACCAGGACATAATCCGACAGGAAAGAAACATGAAAAAAAAAAACTGGCACTTATCATACTGATAAGAATAAGTGTGTGATTACAAATATGAATGTGATTAAGAATAAGTATGTGATTAAAAATAAGAATGTAACTAATAATAAGCCATAAGAATGCGGATTATCATGCGGATAAGAAGCATATTCTGCAAAACTGAAATATCATGAAAACAAAATCCAACAAGAAAGAAACATGAAAAAAAAAACAACTATGAATTTTCATGCTAATAAGTGATAAGCTGATAAGGGACTCAAGAAGAAAGAAGAGAAAGCTCAATTGGCTGGGAAAAGAAAACTAGATTGTTCCAAAAAGATAAAAAAAACTGAAAAAAATTTACGATTAAACTTCTTGTGTGTCGTGTGAAGTAATTTTTTGTTAAGATAAAAGTAAAAGAAACTAAATTGATTGCCAGGAATGTCATAAATGGTAACACAATGCATGTTAGGGATTAGAAGAGGCTCTTCCAAACTTTTTTGTTTGTATTCCTTGTGAGAACAATTCTGACTAATATGAACTCATTCTTAAAATTTTTTTTTTCGTATCAGTCGCTATTTATTTCTATATTTGATGTATGTATTATCTTAGCATAATATATCTTTAAATATATTATTAAATATTATTTTTTCGAATGTCGTTTTTATATTTAATTCATAAAGACTACAATAGTCACATGCTTGGCCAGGCATCTACATTCGTAAAAATTCACCCATTTGTCAGGAAATTAAGTTTGAATCCGCAGGCTATTCTTTTATGTGCTTTTGTTTAGCACCACTTCACTCTATTGTTTTTCTCTTTGTTCTATATCGCTTGCCTTCAACATTTACTGGGAGATATAAAAAGAACTTTTATAAGTAAAAGTCTTACCCCTTTAAGTCCTTTAAGTTAAAAAAAAATTTTCAAGTTTCCCTATGTTAGCTAGTGTGGTTCGAAAGTATTTCATTATACCAGTGTTTTCTGTCACAATAGATTCTGCTTTTAATGAAGCAAACTTTATTCAAAGGAAAGAAAGAAGAAGGCATTCATTTTCCGCAATTGGAAATAGATTGAATTCAATCCATTTCCACTTCTCCAAAAGTTGGAAATTTTCATTTTTTTTACCTTCAAACAATTAAGTATAATTAAATAAACATTTTCCAATATAAATACATTTATTTTATGAACACTTTCCAAGTCAGAGGAAACTACTTTCTGTAACTGGTTAGAAAGTGAAATAGAACACCCCTAGTTTACTATTGCTAGAAACTATTGTAAAAAGGTTTTGTCTAGTGCCAAAGCCCCCTATTCACAACATCTTCTTTCTTCTCAAGAAGCAGACTCCAGAGACTTCTGGAGAATCTTTTACAGAGTCTATAGTAAGGGCAAATCTGGTATTCCACCTCTTATGCATGGTTCAGATTTTGTTACCTCACCTAAAGACAAAGCTAAAATGTTTGCTGAGAACTTTTCATCAATATCATCTCTTGATTCCACTAGTTGCGTTCTACCTGATTTAGTAGACAAACAGGTTGATCCATTGCTAAACATTCGTTTCACTCCAGCTTCTGTATCTAAAGTGATTTCCTGCTTAGACACTTCTACAGCTTGTGGCCCAGACAACATACCTGTTATAGTCTTGCAAAAGTGCTCTCAGAGTTTTGTTTTCCAGTCTTGTGAAAAGCAGCATTTATTATATCTATTTTCAAAAATTCTGTAGAGGTGATTAGACTTCTGATTCTCCTAACTACAGTTAGATAGATTTTGATAGGTTTTATTGTGCATTAGATAGATGTGGAGAGGTTACGGCTATTGCTCTCAATATTTCTAAAGTTATTAAATTTCTAAAGTTTGGCATGCTGGTCTTCTTTACAATTTGATCTTTCCTGGAAACCATATATCAAATCCATTGGAAAATTAGCATCTCTTAAGGTTGCATCATTGCTTCATTAAGGTTGCATCATTGCATCATTGCTCTTAAGGTTGCATCTCTTTATCATGCTTGCAACTTTTTTTACTCAGATTCTATTTTTTATCTCTTTAAATCTCAATTCTGTCTTTTTATGGAATACTGTTGCCATGTATGGAGCGGATCTTCGAATAATGGTCTTTCTCTTTTAGACAATGTGCAAAAATGCATTGTAAACATAGTCACATTGTCATAATGTTGTTTCTTTTTCTCTTTTCTATAAATACTATAATAGTGCTGCTCTAAAGCTAGTGCCTCTCTCTTTTTTTTTTCATTATCTTCACTTCCAACAAGGCTGCAAGCAACCACTATTAGAGTTGGAAGTTACTGGATGAGAAATGATGAAGTTTATAAATCAAGGTAATGATTAACAGATGACTTAAAAAAAAAAGGTTTTAAAAAAAAAGATTGTGATAATGATAAATATAATGATATACATTTTACTATAGGCTGAGTAGTGTATATTTTTTGACACTTGTTACAGTTTTTAATAAGACTCTTATAAAAATTAGAACAGTTTGCATAGTTTTTTAGTGCAGATGTGGGTGAGGTTTGATTAAATTACCCTAATTAAATAACCTATTAAACAGTTTTGAATTTTTGTCAAAATATTTGTTTTCTAAGCAAACAAGTACTAAAAATATAAAATAGTAAACAAATATTTATACATTTACATTTATATAACAATACATTATACATTTTTTATTTCTGTATATAAAAATAAAACAGTTTTTTGCTGTAAAAAAATGATAAAGTGTAATGAAAATAGGTTTTTCAAGGAGAATTTTGTAACATCTAAAATGTTTTTGAATTTTTTTTTTACTTAAACATTTTACCACTTAATTGCTATTTTCAAATGTACTTTTAGGTTACCATCATTATAATATATTAATTGTATGACGTTAGTCAGTTAAAATGGTGGTTTTGAGTATTTATTACATAATCAAGTATTTATGATGTGATCAAGTATTTATGGTGTAATCAAGTATAACAAGAAGTCTAATAACTTGTATATTAATAGTAATAGTAGGTTAAAATATTTTAAAAGTTTGTTAATTTTTTTAAAATATTAAATTTTTTTTTAATTGTAAAAACAAATTTTGGTGTAAGTAAAATTACTACAATTGTATATAAGCTTTAGATAATAACAGAAAAGCAATGAGCAAACTTTAGAGAAGTGAGCTTTGTGCAGTTGAACTGTTTGTTTGTTTTTTAGTGGTGGGGGGGGGGGTGAAGGGGGTTGCTTTGAGGTAAAAGGTCCAAATGAAGCTTCTTATAATTACTTGACAGTCAAAAACAAAGTGGAAGATTTCGTTTTCTAAAATAAGCAAAAATAAGTTAAATATTTTAAAATAAGCTTAAAACAAATATAAATTTGTGTTTAAAATTTTTTTTTCCTTTTTTTTAAAAAAAGTTTTGTTTCTGTTCCAGGTTGCATCGAAATGAAATCATTTTTTGAGGCATTAAATGAAAATCCAACAAGATATCTTTTCAAACTTATATATAGTTAACTTTGTTTTTTGTTTACTCAATGTAATTTGCACAAGAATATTCTAATCAATATCTAAAAATAGAGACGAAAAAAAAATTATATTTATGAAAAAATTGTACTTTTCCAAGCGTCATAAATTGCTCCCGTAAACCACAATAGGGGAGTGTGGGCAATATATATATATATATATATATATATATATATATATATATATATATATATATATATATATATATATATATATATATATATATATATATATATATATATATATATTTGTATATGTGTATATATATATATATGTACATATTTTTCAGTCAGTATATTAAGGAAATACTTTATAATTTGTGCTAGAAACATGAGCAATTTTTAAATTTGTTTTTCAAATGTTTTTGCTAAACTTTACTGTTTTTATCAATTCACAGGAAAAAAATAAAAAGTCATTAATATTAATATTAAGGTTGTTTTCAATACCCCCATTGAAATAGTTTGCAACTTTGTAGGATTATCCAAATTGGGTATTTAAACCTGATAGTTTATTTCAAGATGAACTATTGTTATTGACGAAGCTTGTGGGCTAGTGCATTGTTACTTTACTGAATTTTTTTAACAAAATGTTGAGGGACCTATTTAAAACTTTTTTAAGTTTTAAATAGGTCCCTAAACATAACAAAAGCAAAAACAAAACAAATAAACATAAGAAAAAAATTTAACAAAGTTTCTCATAGTTTAAGTGTACATAGCAAATTATTTTCTTAATTATATAGACTAATAAAAATTGTGAACAAATCGTGATCAAAACATTCAATTGTTGTTAAATCGTTCTAAAAGAGTATGTTTTTTTCAACAACAATTCTAAAAAAAGGAATACAAAAGTTGTATAAAAGTGTTAAAAATTTTTTTTTTTTATTTACTTTTTTTAATTAATAAATTTTATTGTTTTAATAAATTGATATTTTGTTACAATTTTGTTTCCTTTTTCAAGATTGTTTGTATTTTTTTAGTAGATAAGTTAGCTTTTTGCTGTGAATTATTGAAAGACTTTATAAGTTAAAAGATGCAAACTGTTGTGGTCACTTTGTCTAAATAAATTACTTTACTGAACTTTTTTAACTTTTTTATTGAACTTTTTTACGAACAAGACATGCGACCATAACCCTGAAGGCTTGATATATATATATATACACACACAGCCCTAAGAATTAGGGTCAGCATTTAGTAATTCTGACCTTAAAGTGTTTGAGGTTGGCAAGAAAATTGCGACCTCGTTTCTACGCCTTATAATACAACTTGAGTATAAATTTTTTTCCAATCTTATGATATTTGGTATAAATTTTTTTTTCGTTGATCTTAATTGCCAACCTCGTTTTTCCTAATTCCAAGGGTTGTATATATATACGGGAGTATATGAGCGCAAGAGCTGAGAAAAGCTCCTAAACCGAACATGACGAGCCGTGCAAGCTGCTTCACTAAACTGCTTTTCACAAGGGCTTTTAGTTTTTGCACTAGCTATCTGTTTATCTGTTTATATAAAAATTGCTTGTTAAATACAAAGTTTGGTTTTATACATGTTACAAACATATGTTTGTAAAGTTAATGTTACAATAATATATACATAACAAGCATCATTTATTGTGCTGTGAAAAAATTCTTTAGGCACAAAATTTTTTTTTGCAAAAACCATGCCTGTTTATCATCCAATTAATTAAATTTTTTTGACTTTATGTTTTACATTTTAGTTACAATAATAATTATACTTTTAAAAGAAAAAAAAATACTTTTGTGAGAGCTGTAAATTGCTCCCAATAAACCATTTTAGGGGAGTGGGGTGAGAGCAAGAGCTAAAGCTACTGCTTCCGCTGAGGCCTGTATATATATATATGTGTGTGTGTATATATATATATATATATATATATATATATACATATATATACATATATATATATATATATATATATATATATATATATATATATATATATATATATATATATATATATATATATATATATATATATTAATATGTTAAAATGCTTAAAAATTTTAAAAATCAATGTAAAATTTGCTGATTTTAATTATTTTATTCAGAATTTCTTGAATCTCTTGTTTTTTTGTTTTAATTCTAATTTTTTTGTTTACAATTTAAATAAAAGGTTTCTTTTCCTGGTTTGTTTTTAAAGGGATCCCCATGTACCAAGTTAAGTTGTCTTCATGTTAAAGAAAATTATTTAAAAAAAACGTTTGGGCTGAATTTTTTTGATTAAAACTAAATAACGAATGCAGTCCATTAATTTTAAAATTCATGTTTTAGTCGAAGCTTGCTTAATCCATTTTTTTTTGGTTCTCGGAGTCTGTTTAATGTTAGACGTAATCTGCAGACTTGATTATCCCATGCATGTTTAATTTATAACAGTTTTGATATATGGCGTCATCGCATAAATTTTTTCTTCCAAAATAATGCATTTGATATTTTTTTGCCACAATTACCAAATCATGTTAATTGTATAACTTTTTACTAAATCCCAAAAAAAGTTTGTGATACAATTGAAAATTAAATTTATAAAATTTATAAATATAAAAATTTAATATACAGCAAATATTTACTGTAAAACTACTGGTTTAAACAAAATATAAATTAGATACTAAAAGAATATTTTTACTAAAGCGTATAAATTAATTTAAAGTATAAACTGAACAAAAAACAGAATGACTTGAATAAAACATATAAACTGAATTAAGTAGAAAATGATTATTAAACAAATTATTTTACTAATAACTGTACAAATTAAACTAAATTAAAGTTAAAACAAATATTTGTATTAAAATATACAAAAAATAGTTATAATATAAATATAAAAACAAAGAATTGCATTTACTCGTTCGCCACCAGCCAAACCAAAATCTTTTTGTAGCGACCGTACATTTTTTGAATAAATTTGAATGGCATAACATTGATAATTAATTAAAATTTGATAATAATAAAGTTTTTAACATGCATCATTAAACAATAAGAAATGCAAAGTGCTTAAACCATTGTTTTTATCAATAGTAATAAAACACCCAAAACAAGTCCAAAATAAAATTCATTTAATGAATAAAAAGAATATTTTTTCTTTAAAATACTTTGGTAATTACTTAACTAAATACTCAACACCTCTACAAGTTTTACAGTGTTATTTAATAACCAATTTAAATTTTTTTTTATGAAGGATTATTCAAGATTTTT